CAGAGCATTGGCAGAGGGGGACAGTGAGTAGAAACAGAAGGCGATTTGCATCTTCTGAGGCTGCTGACCTAGCAGAGAATTCACGCAGGCTAGAAACAAGGACAGGAGCCAGGTTAGCCTGTTGGCTGGAGTGCAGGGGCCTCTGGCTCGCTGCCTCTGTGGCCAGGTCTATTTGCTTAAATACACAGGGACTTCACTCCCACTCCCACCTCAGCTCTGGCAGCGGGTCTGTGGCTGGGGGCTGTCAGTAAAGCAAATGGGTTTGAATTCGATTAGCGGCTGGGGAGAGGACCAAAGTAAAACGGCAGGGTGGGGGAGAAACAGAGCGAGCCAGAAAGAAAAAGACAAGGAGAGGGAAGGATAAACCAGGGCCTAGATCTTATATGTCTCTGTGGAGTCTCATCTTGAAGAATCTCTCTATACAGATTGCTTTGTACAACAGTGCAATGCAGCCACCTCTGGGGTGGGGCATGGCAGTGTAAAACGGTACTCAGGAATTGGGTACAGTGATCACTCTCCCAGCACTGAAATGCAGCTGCTTCTAGGGTGGGTCATGGCAGCTGCATAACAGCGCACAGCTGGCTCACCCAGCACTGACATGCAGCCACCTCTGGGGAGCCTGTGTGTAGAAATGGACCCTGTCTGCATTAGAGTGTGTATGCATGGGGGGGAACGTTGCAAGCGTGGGACCCTGCCAGCGTGGGGGAAGAGATGTGTTAGGTGAAGGAGGGATATGGCCCCATCCCACTCCCTTTCTCCCTGCTCTATGCTGACCCCGTGCCTGCCTCCTGGGATGTGTCCACGGCCCCCTCCCGCCCCGGGCCCCCTCCAGTCCAGCTCCCTGGCATCCGTCAGCCTCCGTTTTCCCTGATCCTGCAGTTTGTCAGCGTCCATTATTAACCTGGCTGCTGATGGGCATGGGGGGGCGGGGGCTGGACAAGACGGCCTCAAGTAACCTCAGGGGCAAAGGGACCCAGCTCTGATCGGATACTGTCCCCCCCGCCCTTCCCCATGGCCATTTCCCCACCCCTCTCCCTGCCAATGACTGCCCTGAACAATCCTTCGGGGGGGCGGGGGGCGAGGTTACACCAGCATCAAAGTCCTGTCCGGATAGCTTATTTCCCTCAGGGAACTGGTGTAAGCTGTATCAGCTCTTTTGGTGATAGAAGCTGCTGTAACCCACCCCAGAGGCAGCTGCATTTCAGTGCTGGGGGATCCCTGTACTGTGCCGCTGTGCATTGGAATACAGCTGTTACACCTTCACTAGGGGGGTTTGCTCTGGTCTAGCTCCACTGGCAAACCCTTTCTAGTGTAGACAGGAGTTCCTTGAGAGGCACTCAGCCGGCGTCTGGACCCCTGTGTGTGGGGGTGTCGCAGTGTGTCTATGTGTCTCTCGCGGTGCGTGTGTGTCATTCAGGCTGTGGGTACGACAACACTGCACCGTGAACCCGGGTTCCCACTCAGGTTTGAGCCCAGTCCCCCTTCCGTCCACACACAAATCAGCCTGACTTGGGCCAGGAACCCCTCGGGACTTGGGCCCGTGGCCCCTGCTAAGGAGGGTGGGTCAGACCCGAGTCTTGCTGAGACTCGGGGCGGAGCCCTGTCACTTCGCAGTATGGAGGCCGGTCGAATCGCAGACCCGAGCCGGAGGGTCGGCGGAGCAGTGTGGACACGTCAGTGCGGCCGTGAGACCCGGGTCTGGCAAGGGTAATGCTGCAGTGTGGCCGGACGCCCAGGCACGGGCACGGAGCCAGCGAGTCCCCCAGCGCGGATCCCGCTCTCCGCTGGGTCTCAGCGTCTGTCTGTCCGTCTCATGGCGCGGCTGCGTCTCGGCGAGTGTTGGCGGGGAGGGGAGTGGGGATGGGGCGCCCGGAGGCGCTGGTGGCTCCACTCCCTTTCCCTCCCAGGCCCTGCCGGCCTCGCGCTGTCAGCCCTTCACAGCGTGTTTGTCTGTGTGTCTATCACCCACCGCAGCCCCAGGCACCTGGGCCGGGTTGTGGGGAGGTGACGCTCCCCCTCCCCCGGGTGACTCGGCCCCCAGGGAGGAGCACAAAGGGGGCCCAGCCTATTGCTGAACGTGCTAGGACCTGAAGGGGTCCCTCTGCCCTGCCTAGGACCCACCCCATGGGGGAAGCTCTGGCCCCACTTCAGTAACCAGAGCCCCTGTTGCCAAACCCTCTTCCTCCAAACCTCCCAGGGCAGAGGGGCAGGACGGGGTCCCCACTCCATCTCCTCCCAAGCCCCTGCCTCCTGCACAGAGCTGGGGGGAGGTGTGGGCAGCTCCAGAGCCGATGCCAATAGCTGATGTGCCCCCTCCCCTGCCCCTGCTCTCTGTGCCCCACACAGGGCAAGCTGCATGGGGCAAGGCCCCTCTGCCGCACCCTATTCCCGACCTGGCCCCTCCCCCCACCCCTCCCCATACACACACCAGTCCCTTTCCTGGAATTTTTGCCCAGCTGGGTACCAAGACCAGGATCCTGCCAGCATCCCAAACGCCCAGGGTCCATCTGCCCCCGGTGATGCCCCCTCCAGCCCCTCCCAGTGCCCCCCATACCAGCCAGATGCCCGCTCTGCTCCCCATTCTGTTCTCCCAGTGCTGCCACTCCCCTGGGCTCCTCTGCACGGCACAGGGGGCATGGGGGGCTCTGGGTTTCCTCCTCCCATCCCTCTGCTGAACGCTGCCTCTGGGGCAGGGGCAGGGGCAGAGGAAGTGGCAGGCTGGCTGCAGTGCCCCCTACTGGGAGAGGCCAGGACTGGGATTGCAAACAGGGCGACTTTGATTCAGCTGGGGAGGGAAGTGCCAGCTGATTTCCGAAACAGGTGTGAACTGATTTTGTAGCTCAGAAAGGCCTTGTGGGGGTGCAGAGGGGAGTGGAACCCCCCTCCCCCAATGCAGCGTGGTCCCAGCTCTCGCTCTCTGGCAGGGGAGTCTGAGGCCGAGAGCAAGTTTGCAGCCCCCTTCGTCCTGTCCAGACTTGCTGCTGAATCCCACAAACGCTTCTCGCCCGGGCGGGAGGCGGGAGGAGGGGAAGGGCCCCAGAGAGAGGGAATGGGAGAGGGAGGGAGGGAGGGAAAGAAGGGCAGAAAAAGGAGCACGTGAAGGAGCGATAGAGGGGGCAGGAACGGAGGAGAAAGCTGGAGCCGCCCGACCTTTGGCCAGCCTCGGTTTGTCTTTCAGAGGGAAGATGGCAGAGAGCTCCCTGTACACGCAGCGCCTAGAGGCCATCGTGGTGAGTGGACCCCTCCCCACCCCCAGGGACCCCGGCCAAGACAGGACTAGGGCCCTTGGCCGGAACTGGGCACAGGAGAGGCCCACAGCTGGTGCCCCCGGGGGCAGTGGCAGGGAC